ACAATGGTTTCTTCATAATGTGACCTCCATGGCACTTCCACTCCGTGGAATCCGAGTCGCGTATTGCAGCACGCCTAGAGGCGGCCCCGACCGCGCTAGCCGTTGCCCTTGTTTTTTTTGTCGAGTCTAAATTCTGGTCAGTGTGTATTGTGGACCAGGCTTGTTGCTGCAGCCCCAGTTGCAGGCTCTTGCCGCACCAATGAGGCTCCCGACCAGTCTTCCTCTCTCCTTTCTTGGTTTATAAAATCCTGGTCAAGTTGTGGACCTAGGGGGCGAGGGTGGCTGTACGCCTAGATGCGGGTTCATTCGCCATGCCATCCACCTGCGACCTCTCCCACCTCCAGTCTTCTCGACTATGTCTTGACACGGGGCTCATGCAGGAGAGGAAGAGAGAGAGAGAGTGTGTACAGCAGGCGCTGTGGAAGTCGACTAATTCACGCACACGTCACTGTCCCCGCTCCAACTTGCTGTAGAGCACACGGTGAACATCGTCGGTGAAAACAGTCAAAATGTCGTTAGGGTAGCGCGAATGCGGAATCCTGGAATGTTTAACCTACCTACATCTGAGTGCTGAACATGGTTATTCTCTACACGGTCCCGCTCATTTACTCACCGGAACTAGTTTCTTGCATTGTGTCGACTGAGTCTGACGCTGGCGAGGAAACCATCAGTGGTTTTTCAGATCCAGTTCGGGTATAATTCGGGATTATGGATCTCCCTGTTTTACAACTTGTGGGGATCAGGTTTATGGTCATGAAGGTTAGTGTTGGGGTTAGGGCTAAAGGTAGGGGAGTATTCACCTCCCTGGAATTTAGTGCTGGACCAGTTGTAGTACCGGTGAAGGAGGAGGTCATAAGTCCCTTGTCCGACGTCGGTGGGTTCGCAGTAATAAACATTGTTGTAAGGATATGCGCGGAGAGCAGGAAATTGGGAGCAAGTAGTAAGCGCAACTGGATACGCACCTATTTTTGTTTATGAAATGTAGCTTTACCCTGCCAGTCTCCGCTCTTTTTGGAAATGGGGAAAGTAATTAAGGACTAAGGCCTCCTGGCTTTCGATGGCATCCTTCGTTGCTCGTCGGACGGAACGCCCCTAGGATATGTGGCCACCTTTCGCATAACACAAAAACCAGTTATTAGTTCCTCATGGCCTTAAGGTTTGTGTGTGTATGCTATGTCACGTTTCAGCAAACCATGGCCCTCGCAGCCTGGCGTGCGCTGGCAGTTCTCTGTCACTTGATTCTCTGGCGGTAAATACGTTGGCGCTCCCGCTGGGTACACAAGCCGCATGCGGATTTGCCCAGTGACTTGTGTCATCCTTCTCCTTTTCACCAGGTTTGGAAGGCTGCCAACTGATGGACAACTGGGCCCTCACAATTGGCCCAGTATCCGTGTTTATGTGGAGCGGCGGACTGGTGATCTGAGAGTCAGGCTACAATGATTTCTTCATAAGGTGACCTCCATGGCACTTCCACTCCGTGGAATCCGAGTCGGGTATGGCAGCACACCTAGGGATGGCCCCGGCAGTGTTAGTAGACGCTCTTGTTTTTCTGTCGAATTCTAAATCCTGGTCACTGTGTATTGTGGACCAGGGCTTTTGTTGTTGTTGGCCCAGTTGGGGGCTCTCGCCACGTCAATTTAAGTTCCGAGCAGTCCCCCTTAGTGCATAAAATCCTGGCCAAGTGTTCGTTGTGGACGAGGGGTGTGGTGGTACGTCTAGGCGCGGGCCCGGCAGTGCCAGCTACTTACACTCTCTCCCGCCGTCGGTCTTCTTGACTGTGTATTGACACCAGGGAGAGAGAGTGCGGTAAATGCTGTGCATATTGACTACCCCCTGTAATCTAATTCATGCACAAATCACTGTGCCTGCCCTCAGCCTATTGTGAGCACACAGTGGACAGCGTCGAGATCGGACGTCGAAGTGTCACACATTTGCGACAGGGTGGCCCACCCCGTTGTGCGGAGACCTGGTATGTAATGCGGGGGGGGAGGGAGGGAGCAGGTCGTGTGTGTCATGCCCTGACGGGCTGTCTAGTTCTGTCAGCCACTTGCGCCCAGTCCTCGCATCAGGGGGCTGACTGGCTCAGACAGTGGCCTGGTGCGCTGGAGAGGTAAGAGAGGGAGAGCGAGGTCGACCTTGGTGACCCAGTTCCCCCGACAATCAGATCCTGACGCTATTGGCTTTTATAGGTGTTATGGCAGATTTCACATAATTCATTTTGAACCGGCTGTGAAAAACTTGGTTCTTGACTTTGTCAATCCGTAGCTTGAAAGGCAGTCAACTGAGGAGATCAGTAGGTCCGCCCAGGACGGAGAATCAGGCTGCAATGCCTTGTTCTTACTGTGACCGCTATGGCACTGCTACCGAGATGAGATCCGAGCGGACAACTTATTGTTCTGTGGGAACCTAGTCCATCATGAGCAGACCAGGCATTCGTAGCAGGCATAAACGGCTGTTTAGACGTGTCAGCCACTGACCCGAGTCTACCTTTGGCTGACTTGACACCGGAGACTGCTGGATGAGGGAGGTGGATGCTGCCCAATCCACCTTATTGAGAACTAATTCACGCGTAAGTCATCGCTGATGTACCCACCTCGTAGGGCACGCAGTGGACGTCGTCGTTCGCGATAGACGAACTGTCGTATACGCAGGTTCACGCTTTGTCCGAGTGTTTACGGAGCGTGGTGATGTGAAGGGAACCTGGACTGTTCTGATTTTATTATCACTGTTGCATAATTACATACGGCGATATATATATATCAACATGAGTGAAGATTCGAGGTCCAGATAGATTATCACGTTCATCATCCCCAAAAGAAGACGAAGAAGAAAAAGAGGCGATGCCATGGACCACACTGTATTGGTGCTGACGTTTCGGAATCTTCCTCGATTCCATCATCAGAGTAGTGGTAGGATGTTTGTTCCTGCTAGCTCAGAGTTGTTCTGTCTCGCCGCCTGTCTCGTGTTATAGGCATGCCTGCTACATGAACTCTGACCTGCCTGCTGGCGGGGGATTGGCTTAGGTCTCTCCGTGGCCGACCGCTGGGGCGCTGGTATGACCTCTGCCCCCTGCCCGGCCGCTGTTGTCGCTGCTAGGTCCGTGTGCCCTTGGGCCCTCCCCCCATAATTTGACGGGCTGATCAGCTGCCGCTGCATGTGGGAATCGGGGTCGGCTGTTTGGGCGCGTCGGTGGGTCGATATCTCGCTATCCCGATTCCCACATGCAACGGCAGCTGATCAGCCCGTCAAATTATGGGGGGAGGGCCAAAGGGCACACGGACCTAGCAGCGACAACAGCGGCCGGGCAGGGGGCAGAGGTCACACCAGCGCCCCAGCGGTCGGCCACGGAGAGACCTAAGCCAATCCCCCGGCAGCAGGCAGGTCAGAGTTCATGTAGCAGGCATGCCTATAACACGAGACAGGCGGCGAGACAGAACAACTCTGAGCTAGCAGGAACAAACATCCTACCACTACTCTGATGATGGAATCGAGGAAGATTCCGAAACGTCAGCACCAATACAGTGTGGTCCATGGCATCGCCTTTTTTTCTTCTTCGTCTTCTTTTGGGGATGATGAACGTGATATATATATATATATATATATATATATATATATGTATTTCGAAAGAAATAAGTTCATTGGGAAATATAAACAAGTTTTATTGTCAAGTTTCGACCTTGGCTCCCCAAGTCGTCCTCAGACGTGAAGTAGGTGTGCAAAATAGTTAACATTTAATCATGCCTAAAATCTATTTTGCCCTGGCGCTCCGCTGGCATAATGTTCTTATTGGCCAATGCCTTTTCCACTTTTCCTTGAGGCTGTTGTACACCGCATCCAATTCCACGTGTTGATTGATACATGCATTAGCAGAATGGATGACCTCTAAAAATTCACGACCCGTCTTAGATGAGCAGACACCTACAAGGCGAATCCTGTCCCAGGCGAATTTGTGTCCAGTTTCTAACGTATGCATGGCAATTTGGTACAAGTGGTGGCCAACTGATGTTAGTGTATTCGTGTAGAGACCGATTTCCCAGTTTGACCGCAGTAAACCGCATTACAGGTATTGCATGGTATCTTATAGACAACCTATTTCTTATCCAAATAGCCTACCATATCCTAAGGGTGTAGAAGATGGTTACTAAGTGTAGTCCTCGGCTTGTGCGCCACATGTATTCGGTGCTTCCTCAGGTGTCTTTCAACTGGTTCGGACACATTCTTAATGTAAGGAAGTGTTCGCCAGTCTTTTGGTTTGCACAGTGAAGCCAATAGATCGGTGTGCGCCCACGCAGCCAGGTGGCGCAGCTAACATCGTCGCGAAGTACAAACGGCGTTACCACGCCGGGGGACCATCGTGGAACAGGCGGCAAAACCAGACGTAGCCACAGACGTACAACGCATGGAAAGACAATAAAAATGTTCAATAGTTGCTGCACTCTAGCAGTCTCTGACGATGAACTCCACTTCGAGTTCGAAAGCTCAGGCCAATAGAACTACAATCCCAGCGATCGTGCCTTCGTAATCTTTTAAACATGAAACTAGAATGCGCATATATTCTTCCATTCATATATATATATATAGCAGCGAGAAGGGAGGACAGAGAATGCGGGTAGATAGATACAGCACTGTTTCGGGCTTATTCTGCGCTCATTCAGCTTGTTTGCTTTGTGAAGCCAATAGATCGGTGTGCGCCCATTCCTGATTGATAAATACCCGATCTGCAGCGACAGAGAATGACAGGTGGCGAGGCACTGATGAACTTCGGTTCGATGAAGTGCTTATGACCCATCTGGTA